ATTTTATGGGTGAAACTTTAGATTAAAAAAAGTCAAATATATATGTGTGTATGTGAAAACCATAAGCCATAGGAATTTTTAAAACATATATTTGCTGTTTGGGGAGGAATGATAAATTATCATTGCACTATAAATGTATTGGCATAAGTGGCTTATATTCTTAACTTTAATAACAGTTGGTAATTTCCCGAGTCATTATAATCAAGCTTTAACACATTAACTCGGTGACTTGATCAATGTCCTTTCTGAGAAAATATGTTACAACCTAGCACATTGCCATCTATTATAATATTCTTGGTCAATAATCGTTATTTTTACTGTAATTATTGAAAGCTGGCTTCCCCTCTTGTGGAGAGCATTGTGAATGCAGAAGCATGAGATCGTTCAGGATCAAGGTGTCATCCATAATAGCACATTCATCTGGATTTATGTCCCTTTTCAATTAAGGGACAATCAAGATCAAATTAATTTAGCTCACAGCTACTAATGAGCAACAGCAAAATCAGCTCGCTATAAAAATTGTTATTGAATTTTATTTCCTTCAACTTGATGCACCTCGGTACACAGGGAGATAATACCAGCTTGAGGTTTAGGGGTGAGGGACCTTGGGGTTGTGTGCAGGCTTTGAATCCTGGTGGATAAACATATGATGGGTTGTTAGAGGTCCACAGAGATGGGCTTCCTCTGCCAACCCATCCTTGATGGCTGCCTTTTGAGTGAGTTCTGTGGTCTAGACTGCTGTCTGATATAATTATAATTCGAGCCACATCTGTAACTTAAAATTTTCCAGTAGCCACATTTGAAAAGGTTAAGAAAAACAAGTGTAATTAATTTTGACATGTTTTATTTAACTCAGTATATCCAAAATATTATTTCAATGTGTAAAAAATATTAATGAACCAGTTTACATTTTTTTTTTTTTTTTGTACTAAGCCTTCAACATCTGATGTGCGTTTCCATTTGCAGCATTCCTCAATTCAGCCCAGCCTCAGCGCAAATGAGCAATAGCCATGAGCGGCTGATGGCTGCTGTATTGGACAGGGCAAGTCTGGACTGAATTTTTTCAGTTGTAACAAGGTTTTTCCTCTCTCTTTAGGGTTTGCAGGTTGGGGATTGGGTGCTCACTGGCAATAAAGAACATGCAAACATACAAGCAGGATAAGATACTACATTTTCATTTTTACCATTAGTCTTGCAAGTCATTGGCAAATTTACAATCGCTATGAATTGGCTTATAGCTCCTGTCACCATCCACCTTCCACACTAATAAAGGCAGAATAGAACCTCATGAATATCCTGTTTCCTCATTATCAGAGCTTGGCTTCACCAATTGTGGCCTCATAAAAAATAAGGTTTTCCTTATATTATTATTATTATTTGTTGCCATGAATAATGCACATTTTTTGAAGCCGGATTCTAGTACTATTGCTTTGATATCAAATAGACATGAAGCCTATTGTCAAATATATGTTTGGGGAATAAGGAGTCACTGAGTATTTTATCTCACTGACAATGTTTCTGAAGAAAGCACTGACTTAAACCTAGGGAGAATATTTTAATTGTTTAATATTATAAAAGTTTAATAGGAATTCTGAGGCATAATACAAGAATACCACTTGTCACTGAACTTGATTACCACAGACTACGAGATGTGTGATGTGAGCCTGGAAGTCTGGCATTGTCACCACTCCAATGGAATGGGATGAGGGGGAAGAGGAGGAGGGAGAAAAGCTACTGTGATGGCTGCTCCAATGGATATTTATAGCCATGAATTAGGCTGCTCACCAGTGCAGGAGGCCCTCTGATGCCACTCTGACAGGCTTCTACTTGGCAGTCTCGAAACTGTTATTTCTACCTTCTATCCTCTCAGAGTGAAGAGATAGCTACCAGATTCCTGACTGGTTTCTCCATTTCCAGCCATGTCCTCCTCAAATTCATCCACCCCACAACCTTCAGAGAGCTCTGTTGAAAGCGTAGGTGGGAGCCCATTATTCGCTGCTAAAAATACTTCAGTGACTCCCCGTTGCCCATGGGTTAGAGACCATGTGTTTCTTGACAGTGGCATACAGGCCATCCTATGATCTGGCCCCTGCTAGCTTCCTTTCCTCTCTTTTCCTCCCTGCTTGCCTCCCTCTGACTTTTAATTAATGTCCCTGCATCTCTGCAGCTCCATGTTCCTCTAACCAAACACTTCCTCCCATTCCCCTCCTCAAGCCTCTTCCTCACCAAAAATTTTAGCTCACTTTCTTTATAAGACTCTAATGAGACTTCACCTCCCTGAGAAAGCATGTCCAAGCCTCCCCTACTCCATGAAGGCAGGTGAAATGCTTGTGCTCCCCAGTGTTCTAATGCTCTCAGCAAATTGTACATGTATCCATCCTAAAGCCTGTCTGTGCACCGGCTGCCATGTGATTAAGACCTTGCCTCACTAGTTTTTGAATCCTTTGTGCCAAGCTCAATGCTGATGTATAGCAGGTGCTCAGTGGGTGTCTGTTAAGGGGCTGGCCAGCCCTGTGAAGCAGAGATTTCTAGGCCTTTTTTCTTTATTGGCAAGTGAAGCCTGGTGCCTCAGCCAGCTCTTGGGGAGGGTTAGTCATTCCCTTTCAAGACGGGACTGGTGACGAGGCTGAGATGTCAGCCCAATGCCTGCTTCAGAACACATATAATTCTTGGCAATGAAAGTGCATTGTTTTGGTTGAGTGTGTTGAGGTCTCGGGACCCCACCAGGAATGTAATGTTTGAAAATGAAGAAGAGCAGATGTGGGGATGCAGTGATGACGCCTGAGTGGTGAGGAGTTTAATCTCCATTTTGATGGCATTGGGAGCCATTGAAGTATTTTAAGCAGGGAGCGAGAGGTCCAGGTTTACTGGACCAAGGCTCTTAGAGCCTACCCTCCATTTCACGTGTGTATCTCTTTCAGTCTCTGATGGGGGGAAGTTCAGAGGACAGGGCCAGAGATAGGGACTTGTATCAGAATACACACTGGGTGGGCAACTGGCTTAACAGCCTGACTTTCCAGCATCTTCCTTTGAGGTTCATTTTTTCTTCTTCATAGCATTTAACACTCTCTGGAACTGACTTGCTAATTTATTTACCTACTTATTGGCTGTACCCACCACTAAAATATATGCTGTGTTGAAGGGAGACTTGTTACTCTTGCTCCATCGTGCCCAGTTTGCCTCTGACTCATACCATCGACGTGAGCTTCTTGTACCTCTGTGCCTCCAGACCTAGAATAAAAATCCTTGACTCGATTTCCCAGTAGGATATTGGAAGCATCTCTCAAAGGGTCAAGGTCTTTCTGATATTTTGCACACAGTTGATTTCACCAGGCTGGTTGCCTATCTCCATCTGTGGGACTTTTATCTTTTTTCACTCTTATTGAACAAATTAGCCAACATGACATTGGATACTGATTAGCAATTTGTATAGCAAATTTTTAAAAAATTGGCAGAATTCCATTGTTTTGCTCTTTAATTCTTAATTTACATTTTTAATATACTATGTCTTTATGTGATGGGATTTCCTCTTCTGTGTCTGTCTGTAATGGAACAAAGGGTTCTTCCCACCCTCAAATGATTATGAATAGTGAGCAGCTAGCTACTCATTGTTATTTTATAATTCAAGCTGAGAATATTCATGACCTTTTCTTTCCTTTTGCTAGTGTAAATGTGGCTCAAAATGTGGAGTAGGGTTCTGTTGCTCCCAGAGCCTTCCCCGTTGCCTGCATGCTGAAGGATTTAGAGTCCCGTTGGAGGTTGTCCTTAGCCTCTTGGTCAGCCCTGTACAGGGACATAAATTGTCAACGCATGTGTCCCCACCTCTCAGAAGCCCCTCACTATGCCCATCTTCCTGGCTTCTATGTTAACCTGTGCTTCTGCACACAGAGTTCTTCATCTGTGCTGAGATCTCTCATTTACTTGTCCAACAGAGGTTCTGGAGAGGAGAAACTTTATCCTATCCACCACTGTATCCCTCGAGGCCCCTGAGAGGGTGGCAGACATCAATAAATGATCACGAAGAACTGAGTTATCATAAAAGCCAACATGTATATGTACTCTATATGACAGGCACTGTTTTTAGTTGCCTTAACTATATTAACACATTTAATTTTTACAACTAACCCCATGAAACAGGTACTATTACCCTGATTTAACGGGTATGGGAGCTAAGCTAGAGAAGACACTGAGTAGCCTGCCTAAGGTTACCCGGGCAATATAGGGCACAGCAAGATCTGGCCCTAGGAATATGACACCAGAGCCCACCTGCCTACGCACTGCACTGTACTGCCTTCTGGGGTGAGTGGAGGCCACCACTTATTTATATGGCGTTAGAGCCAGGAAGCAGAGCTTTTCTTCATCTGACTCAGGGGCCTCCAAGTCGGGGATACCAACTCATTCTTCTTGACTCCAACAACCATCTGAGAATAGAGTAACTTCAAATGGTAGGAAAGCAAATTGATATGAGCCTTCCTTAATGCCCAAGGACTGCCTGGTAGGTGCCAGGTCAGGATATCCAGGAGAAAGCCTCCTCATGCTTCCCTGAGTCCTATGTTTATGGCTACCAGCAGCCCTGGGTAAAGAAGGATCTACCCCCGCCCCCATGTGGCACAGAGCCCTCTGAAGAACCTGCGTGTTGGCTCTGCCACCACTTACCCATGTGACAAATCACTCTGAGCCATCATTACTCTGAAAATACAGGTGCTCTTCAGGTGCTGGGAGGCATCATGGCAGAGTGCTCTTGCCAGGAATTTCATGGAACAGATTTTGTTTTAAAGAGAAGGGACTGAAATTAAGTTTTCACCTATTTATTTTGCCAAGTAAGAACATTAAAAAAAGGATAAAAGAAAAAGTCCATCTCTTGTTACCATCATTTGATAAAAACATTTTAACTCCCTAAAATATAAATGGAATTATCTTAGAGAAAGAGGAACAATTCATTAAATTGAGTTCAGATGGTTAACAAGTCGAAAAACTCACATTGCTTTTGTTTTGTTCAGTTCAGCTTGGACCTGTGAAAGTTCTATCAGCCAGCACTGAAGGCCAGCTTTGGGGAACAAGTAAGTGCAGAAAAAAGAAGCCCCCAACTCTAGCCCTGTTGTCCACTACTTGTGTGACCTTGGGCAATTTATTTGATACATTTGATCTCTAATTTCCTCCTGTATAAATTGGGGCTTTGTGAAGCTTAAAGGAGATATGTGTTGAGTATCCATTACCCAGGGATGGAGGTCAGACCATGTTTACAGTTTTTAGTGCAGTGATTCTCAAGGAGTGATTCCCTGCAGGCAATATTAGCACCACCTGAGAACTTTGGAGAACTATTGCTTGTTGGGCCCTACCCCAGACCTGCTGCATCATAAACGAGGTGGAGTCCAGCAATCTGTATTTTGAACAGCACTCTGGGTGATTCTGATGCACGCTCAAGTTTGAGTTCCACCGCTATAGAGAATGCTGCCATCTTTGTAACAGTGGCAGTCAATGTGGCGGTAGTTAGTCTCTGACAGAGCTCCCAGAGGCACATACGCAGAGGGAGAACCTAGAGGGCTTTGGGTTTGCCTGGTAATTATCCAGCTCAAGCTGCACTTTCTTCACTAATCCTTCCCTCCCAGAACGGGGCTTTACCTGGATGTATTAATCATGGCTCTCCCACCTGCCTGTCCCTGATAGATTTCTCATGAGTATGAGTGGGACACCAGTGCCCACCTTTCAGCTAGCAGTGGAGCATTGCTCTACAGGAAGTCCTCCACCCTACCCCAATCTGGCTGTCTCTGGCTTCTGTATGCCGGGAGCTGGGACAAGCTACACCCTGCACTTTGTTGCCGACTAGCTTCTCTCAGTGTCTCTCATTTCCTCTTCTGGATGAAGCTTGTAGGTAGGTTATGTGGCTGGTTTACCTGTCTATATTCTCTCTCTGTTTTAGTCTGGTGATACAGGATGCTGTTAGAATCTTTGTCCCAAGGTGTAGCTTTGACTGGGTCATGCTCCCAATCAAAATGGTCCCCTCACAAGGCACCCACAGAAAAAAATCTGAAGTCTTTAGCTTAAAACACAAGGCCTCCAAAATCTAGTGCCACCAATTTAATTTCTTTTAAAATAAAATTTAAAGATGTAGAAAGCACAGAGAATAGTATAACACATACTCAAAAGTGACACGTTAACATGCTATCACATTTTTAAATTAAATTTTTTGTGTGTGAAGAAATCATTACAGATAATGTCGCCTTTCCTCTCATTCCTTAAAACCATCTTTAGGGCATTTTATTCTATGAGTCACTTTCATATAACCTACAGTTGAGCTGGCTGGATCCCTGGGATTTCGCTGTGGAAACTGGTGCTCCCATGCCTCCTTGCCTTTGCTTGACTGGAACGCCTTCCCCTCCCATCAGCTGCCCATCTGTGCTTGCTCAAACCCTCCTTGCCCTTCAAGTCCCTGTGCAAATGCCATACTTCCCATAAAGTCGCTGGGTATTCTCTCTTCATGTCTTTCACAATCCCCACTCTCATGCTAAGCTGGGGATAACTTCTAAATCTCCATGTTCTAAGCACAGGATTAATTTAGAGCACAGGGATAAAAGCTCAGTCATCAATGGTGGGTGGCATCTTTGACAGACTCAATGTCCCCATCTGCAAATGGGGATAATGTCTTCTGACAGGCTTGTTGAGAGAGAGTGGGTATGACAGCAGTAAAAGACTATAAGGCAAGGGAGTTTATATATAATCACAGTTAAGGGATCATTTATGTTTGTTTACTGCTTCCTGGCTTTTGTCATCATCAGTAGTGCAGCCTGTACATATCTGAGCTGCCCCAGGGCAGAATGATTACTACTTGACTCATCTTTGATGCTCCATGGGTCTTGATGTTTTGCACACAGTTATAAATATTGAGATTGTTTCTGCCCTATCTCATTACAAGATGGAGAAGTTGAACTTCCCCTTGGATGTCAGACATGTAACCAGTGCTTACTCTGTGCCAGGCACAGTACCAGCTGGTTAGTAGAGGCACAAGAGGTTTCAGACATGAGACCAAAGCCCTTTGGAGACCCAGGGCATTGATGTGACAAAGCACTCATGTTCCTTCATGTTGTTCATTCATTGTCCGAGGAGCACCCAGATGGAGAGGGCTGATGGTGCTTAAAGGGGAAGAGGGTACATTCTCTGGGAGCCTCTGAGATAAACACTGCAAGAAAGCAGATGCCGAACATCTCACAGCATCTGGTTTAGAAATAGCCTTTTCAATGACATCTGTACAAATGACTTTGGGGGGAAAACTGACCAAGTATGAGCAAAACAGGTCCACGATTCCAGACTCAAAAACTTCTGAAAATTTGAAATTTATCATAACTTATTTGGCAGTAAAACCTAGGATAGGAGGCTGTTTAAGGCATTTATCAAGTTGAATGTGAAAATTCACACCTTTTGCTGCAGAAGTGTGTGTGTGTGTGTGTGTGTGTGTGTGTGTGTATGTGTGTGTGTGTGTGTGATTACAGGATACTTTCCTAGAACCTAAAGGGGATGTTTTGTAGCGTATAGTATCACATTTCTAAACCCTGGGAAATTCTGAATTCCTAAATAAATCTGGCTGGCCCCAGGGTTTTAGCCAAGGATTGCGGACCTATACAGACTTCATCAGGAAAAGATCCTCCCCCTGTTCACCCAGCCCCTTATAGGCTCCCAGGAAAATGGATTTCTTCCACCCAAGGTAGGCTAGTCCTGGTATCTTTGAAATGCATGCAGGGTCCAGCCTAACTTGTAGTTGAAGCCCAAAGTGATCCTTTCCTCATTCAAAACTGTATTTTTCTAGTGTTAGAAACAGTGTAGACTAACCAGAAAGTGGCCTCAGCACTGCCTGCAGGATCCTCTGGGTGGTATTGGATGGCTGTGATGCAAGACAGGGCAAATCCCCCGAATGGAGATTCAAATCCTACACCCAGAGAAAGAGGGTTCTTGACTAAGTGTAGGAAAGGATTCAAGTGCATGCCAGAGTTAGAGACAAAGGAGAATTTATTAGAGAAGGGATAACGCTCCATAAACAGAAGGTGGTCACCTCTCAGAGACGTAGAGTGAGAGAACCGAGAGGGACAGAGAGACAGAGAGAAAAGACTAGGAGAAAAAAAGACCAAAAGACAGACACAGAAAGAAAGGTAGACAAAGACAGGACCAAGACCCCGAATGTTTGGGAAATTTAGTTTATATATCATTCTTAGTTTCTATGAATTAATAGTTTAAAGACTTTGCCTATTTTCCTTTGATGGTATGGGTATACAGCGTGAAAGATAAGGGTATATAGCGAGAGAAAGCCTGTTGGTGACCCCTAGCCTTTCTTCCATAGTTTCTCTGCCGGGAATGTTTATTTTGTGTAAGGTATGACTCAAGGCTCTGTTTTCCCTTCACAGCATGGGGTAAATGGTTTGTTAGTAATTCGGCAGGAATCTTCCTTTGCTCTATAGCTTTCTTGTGGTCTGGCTGAAGGGCTGATCTGCACATTATAAGCTCTAAATATACTTTGACTTAATGTTTAGTTCTCATTCCTCTTCCCTACATTAACCCCCTCAGGGGTTAATACCCCAGGCTGCTCACCCCACTGAACACCTGCACACTCTGGGCTTTCTGTCCTGCCTCCCCATATCATGATGTGTAGGTAAAAAATCACATTTTCTTGGGGTCCTACTGGGTTCTGAGGTCTTAAATTAATGGTGCTGAGGTATTAATGGGTGGTATAGGCTCTGGGTTTTATATCTGGATGCCATTGACAACTTAGCAAGGGTACTTTTTGCTGTAACCCAGAGAGTTGACTAATAGAGGGTTTTCAAATAACATGCTAGACAATTAGGAAAAATATTTCGGGGCAGAGGAGTTGTTCTGATTGCTTAGTGCTGCTTAATAAACTACCCCCAAACCTAAGCAGGGGTGTAAGCAGGCATTTTATTCTGCTCAGGAATTTTGGGAGTGTTGGGCTGAGTGGTTCTTCTCTGACCCACGTGAACTTAGTTGGGTGGCTCTATTCTGTTAGTCAAAGTGGTCACCAGACTGCCCAGATTCAAGGTGGGGAGGAAAATAGGTCTCACTTTTTGATGGGGCGCAGCAGGACCCCATGACAGGAGCACATAGGGTAGGAGTACTGGATCACTTTTGGTAAAGCTGGTACTGGAGGCTTCCAGGCAGAGCAAACGCCCATGTGGAAAAATCTGTAATCCCAAGCCAAAGAATAATGGTAGAAGAAACTTGTGGTGCAGAGAAGCTAGAACAAGACTTTTTCAAAAAACATACACATAGGCAGAACAAGGAAGTTGGTGTTAGGAGGACTGAGAAAATCCACGCACCTACCTCTCACCTACAGCCTACTGCCTCCCATCCCCCGCACTTCTTCTACCCCCATCCTCAGGGCGTTGGACATTCCTCGCACACATGCAGATAACTTTTCCTTCAATTGTGAAATATGAAATTTAGAGTATAGCATTAAGGCCTGCTAAAGCTGATAGCCAGGGCTTCCAGAGAGTGAGTTAGTAGTTAGAACAGGAAGGCAGCATGAGCCCCAAGGCCTTGGAGAATAAGAGTGTGGAGGGGGAGGCACTCCTAGGGGAGGGAAGCGGTCAGCAAGAAGACCCAGCTGTCCTCATGTCCCAGGGGCACAGATGGGGTGCTGCTGGGCCTGGCCTCTGCTGGCTTCTCAGCTTCCCTCTTCCTGGCACACCGTCCTCACCTCCTACAGAAGACCCTGCCACATGGGCCTCAGGGTGGCAGATGTTTGTGAGCTGGAGGCTAGAGCATCCTCTTCTAGAGACTTGGCTAGATCGATGGGCGGGGGAGAAAGCCACCAGGGAGCATTTTTATTTCAGCATGTTAAAACAGCACTCATCTGGACACCTGGGCTTGTGGGTTTGTAATTTTATCTCAGCTGCTGCCCATCACTGCAAGTGTGCTATTAAAGGCAATCTTGCTACCACCGCTGTGAAATGCCAGCTGAGAGCTGCCAGTTTTGTGGTTGACCGGTGACTGGGGCTCCCGCATCCCTTCACTCCGGAGTGTGGTGTGAAATTGAAATTGACTTGGGACTGGATTC